GTCTGCCACACCGTCATGGCGGACAAGGGCGACGGCAGGCGCGCGGGCGACGCGGGGGAAGCGGAGGGGGGTATGGGCGGGGGACGCGGAGGGGACGCGGATGCGGAGTTGGGGGCGCTGGGCCCGGTTCCGTCGGACGCGGCGGTGCCGAACGTGCGGTTCCTGGCGGAGTCGCCGGACGAGGAGGCGCTGCTGGTGGCGGCGAAGCGCATGGGGTTGGTGTTCACGGGGCGCGAGGGGCGCGACGTGTGCGTGAACGAGTACGCGAAGCACTGGAAGCTGGTGGCGCAGCACAAGTACTCCGTGCTCAACACCTTCAAGTTCACCAGCCACCGGTACGCGCGCAACCGGGGGTAGCGCGGGGGGACGGGAAGGACGGGGGCGACGGGGGAGCACGGGGGGAACAGAAAGGACGGCGGGGGGGAAGGGTGGAAAGAACGGGGACCTAAACGGATCGGGTTTAGGCTTGCCCTACGTTAAGGGCCTTCGCCGAGTTTCCCTGTACTTCTGTCTGACGTACTCCCTCCTGACTAGCTTTCCGACACGTCTAAAAATGGTCCTGTTCTCCCCTCCCGCGCTGCTCTCTCCGGCCTCCTTCTGTGGCACTGCGCGGCAGCAAGCGCATGAGCGTGATAGTGCGCACGCCGCTGTGCAGGCTGGTGCTGATGACGAAAGGCGCGGACTCGGTCATCATGGACCGCCTCGCGCCCACCCCCTATGCGCAGCGCTACCGCGCGGCGACGCAGCGCCAGATGAACCAGTACGCGGAGGCGGGGCTGCGCACGCTGGCGTTGGCGTGGCGCGACGTGGACGATCGGGAGTACGCGGAGTGGCAGGCGCGGTGGGAGGAGGCGCAGGGGTTTGTGGGGGATGCGGGCGTACAGGCGGGGAAGTTGGATGCGCTGGCGGATGAGATGGAGCGCGGGCTGGAGCTGCTCGGCGCGACTGCTATCGAGGATAAACTACAGGTGAGCACTTGCCGAGATGCTGAAACTGTACTCTGCGTTACCATATAAAACACACATCACTCACAAGCTGGTACGCCATCCGATGAAACTATTTCCATCATCACATTCCAATCCACTTTATGCCTTCTAATCCTTTTCACTCCTTTTCGCTCCAGAGGTTCCTTTCTCTCTGCTCTCCATCTCCCTCTCATCTCATGTTCTATTTGTGTCTCATCTCCCCTCGTTCCTCCTACCTCCCCCTCCCCATCCTCCTTTCCCCCCCTCCTCTCACCCCCCTCTACCCCGCCTTATCCAGGTGGGAGTGCCACAGACAATCGAGTCGCTAGCACGGGCAGGCATACGGCTGTGGGTGATGACGGGGGACAAGCTAGAAACGGCCGTGAACATCGGGTTTGCGTGCCGGCTGCTGCGGCACGGCATGCAGCAGCACGTGCTCTTCCTAGAGGACAACGACGCCATGCTCGCTGCTGCTGACAAGGCCGCCATGGACCCCGACGAGGTGCGTGTTCCGTGCAGGCAGGTGCAGGGGGGTGGGGGGATGCGAGGGAAAAGGTGGGTGCAGGAGGGAGTGGGAAAAGAGGGAACAAGAAGTGGACTAGTTGTACGTGGGGCAGCAGCAGCTACAGTTAGAACAGCACAGACCTGAGCCAAGCACATGCCTCCCTGATCCCGGATATTCCTTCCCTGCCCCACCCACCCCCCGCATGCCTATGCCAATGCGCAGTATGCATTCAAGTCCATTCAGGAGCAGCTGGTGCAGGCTAAGCAAGCATCGTCTCAGCTGCGCGCACACGGCATCGCACCCATCCCGTCCTTCTCCCCACCCGCACCGTCCCTCTACGCCACCTCATCCAACTATGACTCAGACAGCAACGACGACACGTCAGCAGAGGGTGGAGCGGACCGCAAGCCCCCCGATCACCCGCTGACGGCAATCCCACCGCAGCAAGCCATCATCCTGGACGGCAAGGCGCTCTCCCTCATCCTCACACAGCCCGCGCTCGCACACGACTTCCTGGAAGTTGCCGCAGGGTGCGCGACAGTGATCTGCTGCCGCATGTCCCCCGGGCAGAAGGCGGTGATCGCAGGGCTGGTGCGCGAGCAGATGGGGCTCATCACGCTGGCCATCGGTGACGGCGCCAACGACGTGGGCATGATCCAGCGCGCCAACATCGGCGTCGGCATCGTGGGTGAGGAGGGCCTCCAGGCCGCCATGGCTGCCGACTTCTCCCTGGGGCAATTCCGCTTCCTGGAGCGGCTGGTGCTGGTGCACGGCGCGTGGAACTACGTGCGGCTGACGGGGATGATCAAGTACTTCCTGTACAAGTGCCACACGTTCGCCTTCACCATCTTCTTCTACAACGCACTCACGCTCTTCTCCGGCACGCCCGTGTACTACGACTGGCTGCTCGTGCTCTACCCACTCGTCTTCAGCTCGCTGCCCGTGGCAGTGCTGGGGTCGTTTGATCAGGACGTCAAGGACACCTACCGCCTCCGATACCCCCAACTCTACACGCTGGTTCGTGCTTCCCGATTCCGCCCCTCTTCTCACCACCTTTCCCACCACCCCTGCCCCCAACTGTTCGTCCCCCTTGCGCTCTTGGTGTGTTGTGACCAGATTGCTTACTTCTACCAGATACCAGCCACTCAATCATCACACTCACTGCCCCATGCGCAATGCCCATCACCCCACGCCCCTCCACCCCCCCCACCCCCCCAGGGCCAGCGCAACAGCAACTTCACGTGGCGGTCGCTGCTGCTGTGGATGCTCAAGGGCGACCTGCAGGCGCTCACGCTCGTGCTCGTGTGCTTCCTGCCCTTCCTGCTCTCCGCCGCGGGCGCTGACGGGCGCAGCATGGACCTGTCGGCGCAGGGCACGCTGCTCTTCACCGCCCTCGTCGTCACCGTCAACCTCGAGATGGCCACCACGCTGCAGGTGCGCGGGGGGGAAGGGGGGAGGAGGGGGGAAGGAATGGGGATTTCGAGAGGTTCATGAGATTTTCATGTCAACGCCACCACTGTGCTCTCTGAACTCACCCTGCACACATGGCCAGGGTGCTGCGGATGTGCACGTGCCTCTCCTCTCACCTACCCACCTGCCACTTACCCGTATCCTCTCCTCCCTCTTCCCCTCTCCCCTCCCCGCACCCCTCTCCACCTACCCATACCGCGCAGTACTGGACGATAATACACCACGCGGCCATATGGGGCTCCATCGGGCTCTGGTTCGTGTTCATCTGGCTAGTGAGCCGCCTGCCGCCCGCGTGGTCCGACTCCTTCCACGGGGTGGCGGACGAGCTGCTGCCGCGCCCCTCCTTCTACCTCACCGTGCTGCTCGCCACCGTCTTCGCGCTCCTGCCCTCCTTCGTCGTGCGCGCCATTGCACGGTGCGCTCTCCTTCGCCGCAGCTCTCTTTCGGGTCGCCACCACCGTGCTGCTCGCGGTTCATGCTTTGGCGGACTCTGCCTTTTGTGTCCACGCCGTTGCGTGCACGATGATGGAACTCTAACGTTGAGGGTTCCAGTCTCAGCCGCCATTCCTGCACTGGCCCACAGGCACGCATGCTGCAGCCCCAACGGCTGCCTTGCCAGAGCCGCGCAACCAGCACGGATAAACGACTCGCTCCTCCGATTCCCCGCTCCCACGCTCCCTCCCCTCCTTCCATTCCCTCCCCTTCCCCCTTTCCCCCCTTTTCCCCATTTCCCCCTTGGTCTTTTCCTCCCCTCTGCCGCCCGCTCTCCCCGGCCCGCCAGGCACGTGGCGCCCACGGACGTGCAGATGGTGCAGGAGATCGAGCGCCGCGACAGATGGCGCTGGCTGCGCGGCTCCGCGTCCGGCAGATACAGCGCGTCCGTCTCCTTCGCCGCCCGCGCGTGAGACCCCCCACTGTACGCGCGCCACTCGTACGGTGGAAGGAAAGGCTGACGCGAGGGCGACCCATACGATTAGAAGCGGTGGTGACGGTGCTGCTGGTTCTCTTCTTTTTGCTTCATCCGCGCTCCTTTCTCGCTGCTCAGTGCTCACTGCACCATTGTAATTGTTGCGATATTTGGGATTTGGGAATGACACGCAAATACGGCACCCTGGGATTGGGTTGCTGTTAGTGTGGTGTAGGTCAACGGTCGGCAGGCCATTTGGTTGTTAAACAGCATGCGTTGGTGTATTGTAGTTTTGTAACGTATTCATACAGACTTCTATTCACTTGGTCATACTCATGCAGCTTGTGTGTAAGTTCTTGAAGTAATGATGTGGAAAAGCTGCCTCTGCGTTAGCCTATAGAGAGTGGGAAGAAGAAGCTGGATTGCATTGGATGAAGATGAAGGCACAACCGTGAGAGGGATGTCAAAGCACTGACAAGCACACAACAAGTACCTGCCGTACAAATGCCGTGCGTTGGAAAATATTACTGGTGTCTACCACTTACCTTGGTCAGTACGTGGTTGATACTATATCCTACCCCTCCAGACCCACTTCCTGGTTTAAGAGGACTGCTCTGCACCAAGCAGAAGCACCTACCATACGAAATGTTGTAGTAGTACCTGCACAGTTTTGGTTAGCTGCAGCTTTTGTTGGAAATCCATCAATCTACCTTAAGCATACAAGCCCAGGCACTGCACTCAGCATACACCCTCTGCTCCTTGCTGTGTTGCTGCAGTTGTTCCTGAGAGAGTTAGAGTTCAGAGGGTTGAGGAGCTACTACCAAGAACTCTTCCAGCATCCGCTCTTCATCGCAAACCACCTTGATCAAGACTAGCCTTGCTCCTACGGTACCTCCTAGCTAAATCATCACATCAGCCCTGTTCCTCGCCTCCTTCGTCCTGCTGCCTGGTCGTTGTCCCTGCACGCACACGCCTCCTCCTCTGTCTGCTCCCCTCAGGACCAACACCCTCCACCACTTCTTTGGAAACAGCATCTGCTGTTGTTTCTGTTGCTGCTGGAGCTGCTTCTACCGTTTCTGCTGCTTCAGCTGCTGCAGCTGCTGGTGCTGGTGGTGGTGGTGCTGCTGTTGTGCAATCCACGGGTGTGGCAGCATCAAGACCTGGGTGGGAGACAGAAGAGGCAGCAGCAACGGGGGTTGAGAGTGGCGTGCCAGAAGGCAATGTGGACAGTGCCGGGGTGGAATTGGGTGCAAGGGAGGTAGAGGTGGGATTGGAAGAGGAGGTCGATGTTTCTTGCGTTGGAGGGCTGAGTGTTGTGTTAGGGTCAGATGCAAGGTCAGGGAGAGCAGAGTGAGAGGGGGAGGAGGACGAGGACGAAGATGCGGGAGAGGGTGTGGGGGAGAGGTCCAGGTTGTGAGGGAGAGAGGAGGGAGGCGTGTGGTTGGGTGCTGGCTTGAGCACTGCTTTGTAGAGAGCACGACTTTCCTTCCACCCACGTACTGTCCCCCGTGTATCCATCCACTCCTCCCACACCTGTTGCCCCCCTTACCCCACCCTCACACACACACACGCACACACACACACACACACACACACACACACACACACACACACACACACACACACACACACACACACATGCACGAGAACATACACACAAAGACATTGAAAGTAAGTGAGCATGTATGTTTGTATGTAGGCATTTGCAGCCAGACACACACACGGCCACACATACGAAATATGTGCCCACACAGCCGCACACATTTGAATGCCACTGTACCAATCCATGTATGTCCGAGTGAGTGGGAGTGAGACAGAAGGTGGCCGAGCTTGAACCTGTGCACGTTCGTGTGTGCGCACATGTGAGTGCGCGCAAGTGTGAGTGTGTGCACAGGAGCAGCAGGGCACCTGCAGCTGGTAGGAGCGCAGGGCAAGCATGGTGGCGGGCATGAGGTGGGCGTGCGGCAGCAGGGCGTCAGCCAGCACGTGCAGGTCCTGCTGCTCGCCCAGAATGCTCTGCAGCCGCTTCACGCGCTGCAGCGCCCCTGGGAAGCGGCCGCCCGGCGGGTATGCCACCTCCAGCAGGTCCATGCGGTACCGCAGCTCTGCCGTGGGCCACACGTGCACACACACACACACACACATGCAGAGAGGGCGAGGGAGAGGGAGAGAGCGGCAGAGAGGCATAATTCAAACACAAAGTTGCACAATTGTCTGAACAGACGTATGCAGGCATACGCACACTGGTAAAGTGCCAGAGCAGAGGCTTTGAGGAAATGACAAAGGAAGGAAAGGAGTGGGGAGGGGAGGGAGGGAAGACGGGAGGGGAGAGAGGGGAAGAAGGAGCGAGGGCAGGCAGCAGAGGTGAGAGAGATGGCTTGCCTCGGAGCAGCTTGCGCAGAGCATGCATGTGGTCCATCACATCATGCCTGTACACCACCGTGCGCCGCTCACCACCACCACCACCACCACCACCACCACCACTACCACCATTACTGCCACCGCCGCCATCACCATCACCATCACTGCCACCGCCACCACTGCTGTTGGTGCTGCTGGTGGTTCCCTGCTGCTGCTTGTGAGCAGCACCCGGGGTGACCTCCATAGTCACGAGATCTACAACCCATGGTGGGACAGGTGCGGTTCAGGTGGCGCATAGTGAAACGAGGGAGGAATAGGGGGAGGGGGGAGTGGAAGGGAACACAAGGTGTATTTTTTTGGGAGGGAACCGGGAGTACGGCAAGTGATGGGTGTGTGTAAGATGCGAGGAGAGAGCAGGATACGAGGTGGCAGAGAGGGAAGCAAAGGAATGGTGCAAGAGGGTGTGGGCGAGGGCGAGGGTGAGGGAGAGACCATCGATGGACCAGGCGTGGTCGAGCAGAGCGGCGGCAATGTGTGGGGTGAGCAGAGAGGGCGCGGAGAGTGCCACGTGCTGCTGCAGCAGCAGCGCTGCTGATGGCGACCGCGGCTTCACACCCCGTGCACACCGCTGGCGTGCACACGCAGGTGGGGAGAGGAGGGCAGGGGTGTGGGATCGAACAGGGAGGAGGAGGTGTTGCAAAAGGGGCATGTGGAGATGGTGAAGTGCAGGAGAGAGGGACGGACGGGGAGAAGAGAGGGCGATGGATAACTGTGGCTGTGATGTGGTGAGTCGGGAGCAAGTGGTTGGTGTGCGGTCCAGTCGAGGTGATGAGCAGCAGACACGGTACAGCACAGGGTGGCACAGCACACAAAGAAATTGCTAGCCCAACCCCCTGAAGCAGCACCTTGGAGACCCTTTCTCAAATCGTCATGGCACATGCCCAAGCACCTCGCATCAGATGTACATCCCTGCAATAGTCCACATTACCCCTATTACCGCAACCTTCCCCACACCCCTCCACTCCCCCAGGCGTGCACCTCAAGGGCGTGCATGATGTGGCGAGCGTCCTTGCTGGCAGTGGCAGAGAGGGCGGCGCGCAGCAGGCGCCTCTGTCGCTTGCGCACGGCGTGCTCAAAGCGCCCCACCACCCGCTGCTCGCCCTGCGCCTCCTCCACCCCACACGCACCCACGCGCTGCTGTACTGCTGCTAGCGTCTCCTGAGGGGGCAGGGCGGCACGGAGAGAGGAGGGGGAGAGGGGAGAGTTCAAGGAGTGTGAGGGCGGTGGGAGGAAGGGAGGGAGGAGAAGAGCAGGCACAGCAGCAGGCGGCGTGTGTGGCATGCGGGCGGGTGGGCTCGACGGTGCAGAAGTGAAGGATCGAACAAGTACACACCAATGCACGCAATAACCCCACTCACACGTGCATGGCGTTCCTTGCCCATGCACGCTCCACGCCCCCCTCGGCCTCCAGCCCACCCCTGAACACGGGAAACTCCCTCATGCCGTTCACACCGCCTCTCGTCCCATGCCCCAAAGAACACCACGCAACCGCGTCAGCCTCTCACCAGCATGACGTCAGCATCTCTGACTCCACCCAGCGCGCGCAGCAGCTTCCCCAGCGCGCGCGGCCTGAGGGCGTCAGGCACCTCTGGGGGATGGCGGGCGGAAGTGGGGGGTTGGGGGACGGGAAGTGTTGGGAGAAGCGGGGAAGCGGGGAAGGGGTGGAGGAGGATGGATGAGAGCACAGGTCGGCAGGGCTGTGAGTGGACATCCTGTTGGGCGGTGTGCGCGGGGCGTGGCTGGGCAACCAACGGTGCAGCAGACAGAAGTAGGCATGCAGACGGTGATGGCAACGAGCGAGTGCATGAACGCGTGCGACCGCGCAAGGAAAGACAACAGCAGGAGCGACGGGTGGTGGGGGAAGCAACCAGGAGGGGGGGCGGCAAGCAGCAAGCAGAAGCGGTGGGAGTGGGCGAGCGGGGGGAGGCGGAGGGAGAGGGCGGGCGTACGGATGAAAGGGGAGAAGACGGAGACGGTGGAGCGCAGGCGCCGCACCGCCACCCTCAGGTCGTGCACTGCCTCCACGTCCTGCCACGTCACTCGCGGCGGGGGGGGAGGGGGCAGGGGGGTGGCGGTCGGGTGCGATGGGGAGCGGTGGGCGCATGTGGAGAGGGTTTCGGGCTTTAATGAGTACGGAGAGGGTGGGAGATGGCGAGGGGCGCGCAAGAGCTACGGCAGCAACAGACGACTGGCACGTGCAGTGCCATGCGCGCATGGCGCGACACACACGGCCATGCACGGGGAGGGAGGGAGGGAGGGAGGGAGGGAGGGAGGGAGAGGGAGAGATAGAGGAAGAAGAGGAGCGAGCGGGCGAGCAGGCAAGGCGCAGCGTACAGGTTGCGAGCGCAGGCGGTCCATCTGGGCGCAGCACGAGGCGTGCGCGGCGGCGAGCGCGGCGTCAATGAGGTCCGCGAGACTGCTGTCCCCCAACCCCTCGTCCCCGCTGCTGCTGCTACTCTCTGAATCCCCCGCGCCCGGGGAGACCTCGGCGGGCGGAAGCGCGCGCTGATGGGGGGCATGGCAACAGTAGCGCGCAAGAGAAGCTGATAAGAGCGACGGCTTTTGAACAGTAGGACATGTACGGTTCCTCTAATGCGCGCTCGCAGCTTCCTGTCATATCGAAATCCTACTAGCTCCGTCGTCTGCCCTCCCTGCTGCGTACTCTCCGGAGAACTTAAGAACCATCCTCTCGTTTCCTGTGAGTGTGTCCAAGAGCGAATGTGGTCCGAGAAACCAACCCCTCGCACCTCGTCCACCCCCGCCAGAACGTCGACGTCCAGCTTCGCCCTCGCTTCCGTCTCTTCCGCGAGCTGGCCGTATTCTCCGTCCGCCGATGCTTCTACGGAGGCCGCGCCGCCACCCAGAGCCGACCACACGCGTGTGCTGCGTCGCGCCGCTCTCCTCGCGACCGGCGCTGCCAGGCAGGGCGACATCGCCGTGCCGCGTTGCGCTGACGCGCGGGAGGAGGATAAGGCGACCGAGATCCGCGACGACACGTAACGCCGGGCGGGCGCCACGTGGCAGCATGTGGGTGGTTGCAGAAGCGTACGATTCGTCCTTACTAGGCGGCCGACCACAGCAGCTCCTGAGCATCTGGTGCAGGCAGCCATGGCGAAGCAGCTGCGGGGAGAAGCAGCAGCCGGGTGGTAGACGCGGTGAGGCGGCGAGAAGGGGCAGAGCGTGAGGTGGAATCTAGGAAAGCAACTGAACTGAAATCAAAACATCATGTGTGAGGCTTTGAAATTACCACTCCGGATTTCCGTAGAGATTCTGCGACAAGGTTTCGGGGAGAAATCTACGAGCATGGCGCACAAATCAATGGAGAAATAAGAGGACCGTCCCCGACATAAATATATGTACCTCGTTCCGTCGTGGAGTGGAGAAGCTGAGTGTGATTCTGAGGTCAACTAGTGTACCTTCGACGTTTAAAGAATGTAACATAGATAAGAAACATCCAAGACATTGACCAAGATAGATCAATACACGTAAAACGTATGTATATAACTACTCATGCAGAAACATGGGAAAGGCTTATATTTCGGGCATAATACGCACTTGAATGCATTCCAAATAGAATGCTATTTCAAATACACATTGACGTGAATGTAAGTATTGATACAATCTGAACTGTCTTATAGGATCGTCCACGAAGTGTAGCAATGGAGGACTGCTAGGTAATGTCGGGAACGGACTCTATCAGTAGAAGGAGATTTGAATCTCGACAGAAGTGACTAATACGGTACATGGATTTATATAGGAATACACTGAAATACGAAGAGTCTCAGCTAGCCATGTATTATAAGTGCTAGAATAAGAAGTTGATCGTGGCCTAGGATCTACTCAGGAAGGTTCGCACGCAGAGAAGTGGTGTTGGTGGGCCCTTGACCTCAATAGCAAAGTGAATGTAAATGCTTGAGATGATTAAGACATGCAAATACAACGATATAAATAAGAGTACAGGGGAATATGAATCGACCTAGCTAGCCATGTACTCTAAGGGGTACATTCCCTTATTCAAATACATTCCCAACTGTGCGGCGCGAATAGTTACGAAACTGTTCCCGCCGAAACCATCCTGCCTGCAGCTGCCTGATGCTGTCTGCTCCGACGGTTCAGATGCGTTCCAACCGTCTGACGCTTCGCGTTCATTCGCGATACTACGTGCTTCTCTTTGCTGCGGTGAGGAGTGCACAGTAATGTTCAAGTATTACTATTCGTAACACCCCCCTTCACTCCTGGCCGCAGTTAGACTTGACCTGCTTGACCACGCCGCTGAGTTCGGAGCAGTGCTGATACTGCTGGCGTGGCAGTCGCTTCGTGAGGAAGTCTGCTGCCATGTCACCGGTCGGGCAGTAGGTCAAGTTGACCTTGCCCTTGTCCACCTCATCCTTCACGAAGAAGTACTGCAGCGCAATGTGCTTGGTGCGGTTGACGAAACCAGGTTTGTTTGCGATGCGAATCGCGCTCTGGTTGTCGCAGTGCAGGCGAAAGTTTGTTGAGGCCGGAATTTTTGCTTCCTGCAGCAGTTCCTGAAGGTAGAGACCTTCGCGAACAGCTGCTGTTGCTGCGATAAATTCAGCTTCCGCCGATGACAGGGCAACCAACTCCTGCTTCAGAGAGTTCCAGGAGATGGGGCCGCTGGGCTCGAGGCGGAAGGAACCCTGTCCTGGACCGTCGATTGTCAGGGTCAGCGGCGTGATCGGCATCCACGTAGCCGACGAGACTGAAGGATGTGGTTGGGATGGTGGAATAACTGAGCCCGACATTGGGCGTGGAGATGAAGAATTGAAGGGCTCGCTGAAGATCGGAGAGATTCTCAGCCGCTGGTTTGCGTGAGTACTGAGCCAACTGGCTCGCAATGTAGGAGAGGTCGGGCCTGCAGGTAACGGATGCAAAAAGTAGGCATCCCAACTGCTGCTGGTAAGTGTGAAGCCCAGCAGGGGACAGGGCTTTGCTGTCAGGCTTGTGGTTGGGTCCTGGAGTGCGGTAAGGGGTGGAGAGTGGTGCAGGCGCAATGTTGAAGCGCTTGCTAAGCTCCTCCGCATACTTCGCGGCTGAGAGATGAATGGCTTCCGGCGAGTAGGTGATGTTGAGTCCGAGAAACTGCTTCACGTCATGATTGCAGGTGATGTCGACGCGCCCTGCGAGGCTTCTCTCAAACTGCTCGAGCAGTTCGTTGCTTGAGCCTGTGTAGAGAAGGTCGTCGACGTAGACCGTGAGGAGGATGTATTCGCCGCGGAAATCGCGGCGATACATTCCAGGATCGTGAGGCAGCTGCTTGAACCCGATTTCAAGCAGTATGTTGTGCAGATACTGCTGCCAGAGTCTCGGTGCCTGTTTGATCCCATAGAGGGACTTGCGTAGCTGACAGACGCGTGGGTCTCCGTCGCCGTAAGTGTGTGGCTGTTCCACGTAGATCACGGCGTCCACTAATGCGTACAGGAACGCATTCTTCACATCGATCTGCCGGAGTGGTAGGTGTCGTGCGGCTGCGATGTCGAGGAGAATTCTGACGGACGTGTGACGGCTGACCGGTGCAAATGTCTGGTCAAAATCAATCCCATGCCTTTGATCGTAGCCGCGTACCACCCAGCGTGCCTTGAATCGCTCAATCCTTCCGTCGGCTCCTGTCTTCACTCGGAAGACCCATTTGCCGGAGAGAATCCTTCTCCCCTTTACTGCTGCACGGTCGACGAGCACCCAGGTGTCGCGCGACTCGAGTGCCCGGATTTCCGCATCCATTGCTTCGCGCCACTCCTTGCTGTGTGGTCCAGAAAGAGCTTCGCGCGGATTTCGGTGTCACAATGTTATTGTTCTCTAGCCTGCAGTGGGGTACTCTATAGCGAGTACAACCCCTTAGGGTTTCCTATATGTATCCTGCTGCTTTCTAGTGAACCCCCTCTCTTCTTCATTTTCTCGTTCTCTTTTCACATGTTATTAGAGTGGTTCCGATCCTAGGACCCAACTGCTTCCGCTGCTACTCTGTGCTCGGCACGCCCCGTGGCGTGCCCCTCGCGCTTCTCTTAGCAGCCCCGTTGCCGCCCTTCCTAGCCCCTCGCGGCCCCTTCGCGGCCCCGTTGCCGCCCTTCCAGGCCCCTCGCGGCCCCTTCGCGGCCCCGTCGCTGCCCTTTTTGCGGCCCGTCGCCGCCCTTCCGCGGCCCCGTCGCCGCCCTTTCAGCGACCCCGTCGCCGCCCTTCCGCGGCCCCGTCGCCGCCCTTTTAGCGGCCCCGTCGCCGCCCTTCCGCGGCCCCGTCGCCGCCCTTTCAGCGGCCCCGACGCCGCCCTTTCCGCGGCCCCGTCGCCGCCCCTTACAGCGGCCCCGTCGCCGCCCTTCAGCGGCCCCTTCGCCGCCCTTCCGCGGCCCCGTCGCCGCCCCTTCAGCGGCCCCGTTGCACCCACCCCTTCAGCGGCCCCGTCGCCGCCCTCCAGCGGCCCCGTCGCCGCCCTTCAGCGGCCCCGTCGCCGCCCTTCCTCGGCCCCGGCCCCGCCCCGGCAATGCCCCGCCGCCAGCCGCGGCGCACCGGTGCACCGCCCCCCCCCCCCCCCCCCCCCCTTTTCCCGTCGCCCGTCGCGGCTCCTTCGGGGGCCGCCAACCTGGGGGGGGGGGGGGGGGGGGCGAGCGTCGCCCCTTCTGCCGCCTGCTTTGGCGCCCTGGGAGGCCGCGCGTCGGCCCCGCCCCCCCCCCCCCCCCCCCCCCACCCCCCCCCCCCCCCCTCCCTACCCGCCATCCCGCCCTGCCCTGTGTTAGGGTTTGGGGGTGGCAAGAAGGGGGTGACGGGTGTGTGGTCTCCCCTGCTCCTCCTCCTCCTTCGTCTCCCACTGCTGCAGCTGTCGCTGAGGGGGGTGGATGTGTGGGGGCCTGGGGTTTAGGGTTTAAGGGGGGTACTGTGGGAGTGGAGCTAGGGTTTTGAGGGAGGTGGATGTGTGGGCGTCTGGGGTTTAGGGTTTACGGGGGTGCTGTGGGTGTAGGGTTAGGGTTTGAGCAGGGGGTGTGTGAGAGGGGCGTTGGGCAGCTGGGGGAGGTTGCGTGGAGGCAGCAGTCTTGTCGTCAGCAGCACCAGCAGTCCGGAGGCTAAAATCTCCGGTAGTCGCTAGTCGCCTGTGGGTCAGTTGCTCGTCTGCCGCTACTTTTAGCCGCGGAGCCAGTTACTCCTGTAGTCCGGGCCTTTGCTTCGGTAGCCACTGAGCCAGCAGCTCGTCTGTGTGTCTGCAGCGTCAGCAGTCGCCTCCCATCTTCTCTCCCCCACAGTCTCTCCTCCTCCTCACTTGCCCTCTGTGATTAGCTCTAGCCTTACTTACCTATTGTGAACTCCTGCTCTATGACTGCTTGCTCATTGTGCTGATTAGACCCCACTTTGGCTATGGGGGTGTGTCAGAATGTTATTGTTCTCTAGCCTGCAGTCGGGTACTCTATAGCGAGTACAACCCCTTAGGGTTTCCTATATGTATCCTGCTGCTTTCTAGTGAACCCCCTCTCTTCTTCATTTTCTCGTTCTCTTTTCACATTCGGGGCTCGATGACGCGTGGAGCTTTCGAAGTTGCGGTGTGAAGTACGAGCAGCTGCAGTCTTGAGATAGTGCTGTCGTGGCGATGTTGCGGGATGACTTCCTGTACGTCGTCGTCATCGCCTTCTGGTTCAGGAGGCGCTGGTGGTGCTGTGCCTCTGTCGCTTCCGCCTGTTCCGCTTCCGCCTACTGTGCCCATTCCTCCTCCCGAGGAATCGTCGTCGTCGTCGTCGCTGCGTTGTTCTTCCCACACAAACTCGCCCCTCGTGTCCTGCTCCAAGATTGCTGCAGCGGCTTCGTCTTCGGGCGTTGCGTTGCTGTGCCCATCGTTAGCGTAGACGCGGTTCGCGTTCGTTTCTTCGTCGCGGCGGAACTGGTCAAGGAAGAGGCGCTCGTAGAAGATGACGTCGCGAGCGTGAGCGATTTT